ATGGAACTTTTGTCCCAACTCTTTAGTAATGTTCGACTTAGTAATATATTAGGCAACATCATGTTTCAAATATAATTGTTTGTTTTCCTTTTTTTTATTTTGATTTAAATTTTTCTATCATAAAATAAAATTACATGTGTGTATGCACATGTTAACACACTAAATATACATTTAAAAGTTAAATTGGATGGTTAAACTGAATTGCACAATTATGAAATGGTTATATTTATGATATAGTTACTCACAAGTATTTTAGCTCGTGTATAAGCTAAATATTTATTATACATAACTAAATTTTGCAATAAATTATATATATAAATAAATATTATGTCTGAATTATATTTAAAATTTATATAAATGAACATTTTTAAACATATAAATTATATTTTAGATTTATGATAAATATCTTATATTATAGAATAATATTATTATTTATTTAGAAAATATTAAAATTTAATTCATAAATAATTCTGATAAATAAAAATAAAATTATATAAGAGGTTAGAAAATTTTGTTGTTGAAGAAAATTTTCTAAATCAATTAAATTTCAATTGTCTTACTATTATTATTTCTTAATTTGGGAGTATACATTCTCGATAGTCAATTCTTAAAGGTAAAATTTTAAAAATTAGCTCGGAGACAACGGATCAATAGACAATTAATACATTATTGCTCAATCTTGGTAAAAACAAACGAACTAATTTGAATTAGTCCAATTATTTTTTTTACTATTATTTTTATAATACATTACAAATTTACAAATTAACGGTAACTTATATTATTTCACATATTAGTTTAATTGTGTAATCTCACATGTGCCCATTTGGCCTTTTAGGCTTAGCAATATCAAAATGGCCTAATTCTATATAGCTTATATCCTTTTTAAAGCTCAAATCTACCTTATTTACAAGCTGGTTGAGTTGACCCATCAAATTAAGTTCAAATTGACAACTCTATCTATACTAACTTGTATTTAGCAAACTTGTATATGTATACTTAGTTGTAGGGTCGAGCTAGTCTAACCTAATTTGACTTATATGGGTCAAATGTTATTTTAGATCATGTTAACCTGATTTATATTCTTTTCGAGTTGACATTTTTTTTGACTCAATCTGATCCATGTCGAACCATTGGGCCAAATTGACTTAGTTAAAAAAATATTTTAAAATATTAAATTTATTTATTTTTACAAAAAAAAATTATAACATAATTAATTGATATTATATATTGTCATGAAACTAGCTTTGTTATCTTACATGAACTCAACATCTTGATACGTGAGAGATCCAATACATTTAATAATATGGTGTCTTAAATAATTAGAACTTAAATTAACTTTACATGAATATAATTTTTCTCAATCATTACATTTACATTTATTCATTCCATTATTTAGACTAATCTTTTCATAATAATTTATAGGTTCAAATTGACTTCATTTATAGGCAATCGAGTCAACCCATCAATCTAAATTCAAATTCATAATTTTATTTATACTAACTTGATTTTAACAAATTTATATAGCTATCTTTTTATCATTGTATGAGGTCATTATGTTAAGATGTGACATTTTTACTTTATATAAAAGTTAATAACAAGCAGTTTTTCAATTAAAAAAATAAACAACTTTTTTTGTTAGTGGCCTAAATCTTAAATCTTAGTGGCCTTACCTTGGGCCAAGCCTGAGTTAGAGATGTTTATAGGCTAATTTGATTAAAAATCAAATTTAAAATATTATATTTAATTGATTTGGTTTAGGTTGTAATTAGTTTTTCTTAATCTAAATCATATTAAACCAATTAAAGATAGGGTTGATTTAGTTCAATTTTTCGGGAGATGATGAAATATGTATTTGATTATATTTTTTAAGTTCTTATTTACATTTTGTAAATTTTATATAACATCATATACCACATTTTTCATTTTTTAATTGTTATATGCATCATCAATTATATTAATTGTTTTTTTTTCTGAATTATTTTTTTATGCTATCTTGAGCCTTGATGGCACTTTGGATTGTCTCCTGCTATGTTATTTCTCCGGTTCAAAGAAACAGATCAAATCACTTGTGATTTTCAACTGAATTACTTGAACAAAGAAGTCTGATTACAATATATATAACAAACCTTGAGAAAGATAAAAAGTAATAGTTCCTCACAAATTCCATAAAAGAGAACGTTTAATCAAGGTTTACAATTTACATTGTCTTAAATCAGTGAGGAAAAATAGCACAATTTTATCCGAGTAGTTACTTGTAAATAAGTAACTTTTCCCAAAAATAAACTCAATAAATTGTTAAACTGAAATTTTTTTTACATTTCCTTTGATTTATCAAGCATAAGGATGTCAACTGAATTTGGAGTTAACAGATACAAAAGTATCCACGATAATAATAAATTTATCTAGTAAACACTAAACAGGTTTAATCAAAGTATAAGCATTCGATCACAGGAAAATATGATTCATGAAGAACAATAATGTATATTACAGTTTAGAAGTCGTTTGGCTCAATTATTGAGATCAGTAGCAATGGTGGAATCAGTGATCACAGAACTAACATTCTTAGTTATTGAATATTGAATCAAAGAACAGAGAATTTTCACACAGAACGAAGAAACAATAAACCATGCTCTCATTTAAATGTTCTCCTATTTCTATTCCTATACTTTTTGCTCATTACAATTTGCTTAATCGGAGAAGAAGCCACAAGTTTCTGAACCCAAAATCTGACATCCTCTTTGCCCAATCTAGAACTCAAAACCAAAACACTCCCAAACAAAAACCCTAAAAACCATTCCTTGATGGCCTTCTTCCCCAACCACAACCCAAGCAACGAAACCCCCGCCAGGCAAAACGACAACGCCCTCAGAAACAGGTCAAATTCCTGAACCCTCCACCACCACAAGCCCGCAGCGCAGATCAAGGCAAATGCGAACCACAGCGGTTTCTTCGCGCTCGCCCTCCGGCCGGCGAGGAGGCGGCGGAGAGGCTGAGAATCGCGGCGCGCGATTTCTCCGGCGAGAGAATTGAGGGGCTCCGGCAAGATCTTGAGATTGAAAGCGAGGGAGGAAGCGAGTTGAAGCAATTTGCGATTGGAGGGTTGGGACCATGGATGGCTCTTGGCGCAGAGAATTGGGTGAGGCGAGAGGCGAAGAGAAGTAGGATTGGGGAATGGAAGAGGCTGATTTGAAATGTAGGGTTTGAGTTTGAGCATTGTGTTGCGGTGACCGTTAGAATTGGAATGGAATCGAAGACGAAGGAACCTGTTTCTTTCGGTATTTGTTCCAACCACGAACCAAATTCATTTTTGAATTTCGTAGAGCCACACCAATGGATTTCGTTTTATTTTTTTTTCTATTTAAAAAATAAAAATTGTCTTTTTTACTTTCAAGATTAAAACATTATTTTTTTCATTAAATGCTTGTAATAATTTTTTATACACAATGTTGTAAAACCTCCTTTAACACAAATACTTTTTCCATATGCATGTGGTTTTAATATTTGAAAAATTAACGGAAAAAAATGTTCTCATTTTTAATATAATATTAATTATTTTTTTTCTTCTATTTATTTATATATCTTATTTAATTATCATAGTTAAAAGTAATAATATACTTATTAATAAAATGAGTTATTTTAATAAAATTATAAAAAATTGATGTAATTCTTATAGTTTTTAATTTGTATGTAAAACTTTTAAAATGCTATTATGATTGTGAAACAAAAAGAAGTGGTTGATCAATTTTAATGTTAAGTTAAATCACATTGATTGACCCATTTGATTTCTATTTAAAAAAAATAGTTGTAATTGTGTGAACGAATATCAATTAATATTATTATTCATTAGAGGAGTTGAAATATTATATATCTCTAATAGTTATACACAAATAAAATATTAAAAGATTGTATATAATTATTCAAAGATAATATAATTTTTTTTATATCTGAGAGATATAATGGTCCCACTAAAAAATGGAGATCATAAATGGTTACATATCTCAATATCTCATTTACAATAGTTATAGATTTTAATGGTAATTGATCGATATTTAGAAATATTGACCAAGTCTTTATTAACAAAAAAATCAATTTTATAATTATGAATAACAAATAGATATTCGCACAACAGATATTTATGAATAAAATACCATATTAGTTTTAAATAAATAATTAAATAATTACATGCTCAATAATACTGTGAAAGCGAATAATAAAATTTTGTATAAACAAATACTCAATATTTTAAAAATATTTTTAATTATACATAAAGTATTTTAGTTATTTTTTTTACATTAAATATGTGTTATAATTATTTATTTTAATATTTTTTTAATTATTAAGGAATATTTTTTTTGTAGAATATGAGGACAATTTCTTTTGATAGATGACATTTCCTTTGGGTTTGAATTTTTTTTATTTAAAAAAGACAGTTCGAACTATGATCACTTAATTAAGCAATATGATTCTCTTAGCACTTATGTCAACTCAAATTAGAATATTTATTTTAGTCTAAATATATATTACAAAATTATTTAATATAAATATATTTTAAAATTATTTACTGCACGCGGAGTTGGCTTTCCTACAATCCTACTTATAACTAATGGACGAATTGCATAACAAATTGATGGATCATTGTAGTCCGTTCATACAATGAATGGTTGTCATTTGGCTGAACAATATATGGAAGGAATCCACATCAATCATATTATCCCAATCAAGAAGAAAGGAATTAGGGAGAGAATAAAAACCATTACAAAAATAAAGATGATGACCCCAAGATATACTAAGAAAATTGTATAAAAAAAAACCATAACACTTTTCAGTCTTTTTCACAAACCTACAACACATATAGGCATTTAGTAAAGAATGGGGACAAAAAGGAAACATAGGTTAGAAGCTGGAACAAGTTTTCTGACCACACAATCATGAGGCTAGAATGTGTTTGGGTGAGAAAGTTGGTTATTAATTTGATATAGAAGCAGGAAACACCTTTTTAATTGATGAAGGTGACACTGATGAAGAAGTGTGGTTTTGTATTTCTGAATATGTGGATGAGACACAGTGTTCACAATCTGCTACCTCTTCAATATTCCAATTGTTACATTGACGAGGTGGCAAAAGGCAACAAATTCTTCAATGTGATTAACAGCATTCAATGATCACATCAATTAATTAAGAATGGCACCTTCTACACTTAATCCAAAAGTAGGACATGTATGCACACTTTTTGTCTATATATTCTCCACAATCCATACTAAACATCTTCATATAATTAATTTCCATCACTGAAGCTCTTGAAGGAAAGATGAAGAAGGGGTTTCAGCTAGCAGGGCTTGATAACTGTGAAAGTGAAAGTCCCTTGGGAGGGAAGAGTAACCGATGTGTGGTTGTAGCAGCCAATGTTCCTATTCTTGCTCATTCCTTGGAACGCACACAACGAAACTGGTAAGCCAAAAAGATAAATATATGCTTGCTCCTTGTTATATTGTTTTTTGGTAATGTTGATTTGTGATTATAAATATATTTTATTTTCTAAACTGCAGAGTTGAGTTTAAAGCAACCAAGTCTCCTTAATTATGCATGTGATTTGTTCCATTTATTTGATGCAGGTTTGCTAGGTCAAATTCCCCCACCGATTTAATCGTGCAAGTTGGTGATTCCACCTTTCACTTGCACAAGGTGAAACCAATCACTCCTTTAATCGCATGTAACAATTTTGTCATATAATTAACTGGCTTAACACATCACCTGTAGAATGTATGACTGGATGAGTTAATCTAAAAATAACTTCAGAAGACTTGCTCTCGGTTTTTCACTTTTTATTTTTCTTAGTCCAACTATTCTAAATAAGTAATTACTCTATCAACAAATCATTCTTCAGAGTGGTACTAGATTTGGTTTCTTTAAACAATGTTTCAAGATTTGAGTTTTGTAAATAGAAAAAACGGAGATGAAACTTGGGAAGAAAAACTCTATTAAGAATAATCAATCAAGTTCTCTAATAAAAATTAGTGATCGATAAAAATCGATGAAAACATAATACTGATGACATAATTATCACAAAAATTTTTAAAAAAAATCATGCTACCACTCTAAAGTAAAATGGTTACATTAAATATTCTTGAAATATGAATTAAGTAGGATGTGGTTGATTTGCAGCTTGCCATGGCCTCAAGAAGCGAATATTTGAACCGGCTTGTATTTCAGAGGGGAAGCAACAGAGAACGTGTAGGTGATAGCCTCATCATCCAACTTAAAAATCTTCCTGGTGGTAAAAAATATTTTGAATTGGTAGTTAAATTCTGCTACGGAAGAAAATTTGATATAACCGCAGCCAACATTGCCCCATTATATTGTGCTGCACATTTCTTGGAAATGAGTGAAGATCTTGAACAAGGAAATCTCATATCCAAGACAGAATCATTTCTCACCTTTCTCATATTATCTTCATGGAAAAACACATTTCGAATACTTAAAACCACTGAATCCATTTCCCCTTGGGCTAAGGACTTACAAATAGTCAAACGCTGCTCAGAAGCAATAGCTTGGAAAGCATGCACAAATCCAAATGCATCTTGTGAAAATGAAGGACCCTTAAAGCATGCACAAGCAAGTAACAGTGTTGTTGATAATTGGTGGTTTGAAGATGTGTCAAATCTTCGTATAGATCATTTTGTTGAAGTGATTCAATCTATTAGAAGACGTGGAACCAAACCAGAGGTAATAGGTTCTTGTATAGAACATTGGACTAGAAAATGGTTTTCCCAAGTTACACTTGGACTTGACAAGGACACTCCTAAACCAATAACTCTCCACTTACACAGAATTTCCACTGAATGTTTGGTTAACATGCTTCCTACTGAAGAAAATTCTGTCACATGCAATTTTTTGCTTCACCTACTGAAGGCAGGGTTGATGCTGAAAATAAATTCTGAGTTGTTGTGTGTGCTAGAAAGAAGGGTCGCTTTAATGTTGGAGAAATGTCGTGTTCCTGATCTCTTGGTTAAAAACCAAGGAGAGAAACATTCGTTGTATGATGTAACTGTGGTACTTAGGGTGTTACGGTTTTATGTTTGTGGTTTGTCAAGTAATCGTTCAGCAAAACCCCACATTGTTGCAAGGTTGGTTGATGGGTATCTCACACATGTTGCTAGGGATGAGAATCTCACAATGGAAAGTTTCAAATCACTTGTGGAAGCATTGCCACAAAATGCTAGATACTGTGATGACTACCTCTATAGAGCCATTGACATGTTCCTTAAGGTAATAGTAACAGAAAATCTCAACAACACTCCCTCTAATACCTCTTAATTAGTAATTAAAATTTATTACAAATCACAAAATTTAGTGAATTTTATTATTAAATTAGAAAAGACTCGTTAAAAAAGACATGAAACGTACTTCTAGTGATATTATACCATTTCTAATTCTAAATCTCTAACACAAGATCTATGTTTGTGGAATGAGGATATTAAACAACTTTAACCCAATTTTGCAGGCACATCCAAATTTAACAGAAGAAGATCGAACAGATATTTGTAGGAAGCTGGAATACCATAGATTGTCACATGAAGCACGTCAGCATGTGATGCAAAATGATAGGTTGCCCTTGAAATTAACTACGGAATTTGTTATTTTAGAGCAAGTGAACATGGCAACGTTGATGACGAGTAATGGATCAAATTACCGAAGGACAAATGCTCAGACAATCATGAGAGTGAATAGAGATTTGGAAAACAGACAAATAAATAATGCAAAGGAGATAAACATGATGAGGAAAGACGTTGAAATGATCAAATCACAACTCTTGGAAGTAAATAGCTGCAAAATAAAACTCCAAAAGCAACTGAAGAGATGCATTTATTGAAAGAGAGATTGTTATGTAAAAACACTTACTTGAAGGAGAACCTTCCCTCCTTTTTTGTGATGGTAATGTAAGAAATCTGAATGCAGAAAGGTGTAACTTGTTGAATATGATTTTTTTTTATAAAAAATATCATATTGGATTACATTTTGCTTCAACAATCAGCTATTGATAACTACATTTACTTATTTGTGTAATAATAATAAATTCACATTTTAATGAATACTATTTATAACTTTAATTAGATATTTAACATGCATTAAACATATGTAATGGTTATGAAGTTTACGATTTCTAATTGAAGTACATATAGATACAATGAAATCTAACAATTCGTATGCACCGAAAATTTTAATTTTTTTTATTGATATATTTATATATTAAATGTAAATGGTTATTTTATGAGAGAAAGTTTGTATGAACTATTATTCCACCGAGTATCTTTAGAGATTCTTTCAATAATTTATTTAATTCAATTTTTTTATTATATTTATTTATAAATTAAAATTTAATATTTTAAATAAATTATCAATAAATAAAAATAATCTTGTATTGTAACATAAATTATTTTTCTTAAATTAACAATATAATTTATATGTTTAAAAATATATATTTATATAAATTTTAAATAATTTATATACTTAAATATAGTAATTATTTATTTATATAATTTAATTATATATAATAAATATAAATATAATAAGATAACTAAAATTTGAGGCATTTTTTCCATGTTGATTGAGTTGAAGTACTAGTTTTCTCCTCCTAAGACTAAGAGTGATCTTTTCCCCTTAAAAAAAAAAAAAAAAAAGTGACCTTTACCACAAGAATAACTATTTAACCAGCAATCTTTTCTTTTATCTCAAAAGAAATGTTTTAAACACTCTCACAACATATTTTTTAAACACACTTCTTTTTAGTTATAAAAATTTATTAACAATTATAAAATTGAATAAATATTATATTTTATTTAATATTACATTTAAAATACTCAACGATTAAAAATAAAAGGTTTAATATATAATTGGTTCTTGAATTTTTTTTAAAAAATTAATTAAATTTCTAACCTTTTCAAATTATTATAAAATAACAGTTCGTGACGAAATTTTAAATAAAAAAATGATAAAATATAACCTGCTCCGTTAAAATTTTTTAATTTAAGAATTTAATTAAGAAATTCAAAGTTAAGAGACATAGTGATATATATTAAAGCAAAATAAAACAAAAATATATATAAGTGAGTAAATCTGAAGCTTGCAGCAGAGGAAAAAAAAAACGATGGAAAATGACGCAGCGATTTCGGAGAAGAAGCTTGTTTCGGTGGATTCCGAAGATTCCAGTTGCTGTTGCCCAATCTGCTTGGGACCCTTCCTTCAACTTTCGTACCTCGACAAATGTTTTCGTATGCTTTCACCCTTTTCCCTATTACTCTCTTTTTCTTAATAATAATCTCTTCTGTTGCCATATGATATTAATATCTCTGTGCTTTTTAATCCCAAATTTTATAACTTTGTTGCATGTTCTGTAGACCCTTTATTGGGTTTCATTGATTATTTGGGTTGCACTTGCATGGTCTAATTTGTAGTCTTGGGAAACTTTTTTTGTTTGAAATAACAAGACACGATTTGTTAGGATCATTACTTGAGGTTTTAGAAGCAGTTAGAGGCAAATGTTGGATCACTCATACTGCTACTACATATTGTTCCTAGTAATCATTAAGCTTATTCTTGGGTTGCAGATAAGTTTTGCTTCAATTGCATTTTACGCTGGACCAAGGTAGTTGCTGGCAAGCAACGTTCTCCACCTTCTTCTATAAAATGCCCCCTTTGTAAGGTTTGGTTGTTATTATTATTGTTATTATTCTTGTTGTTTTGCCTTATGGATTTTGTTGAAATATAATTTTCCGGTTTTTCCCTTCCATGATACACCCCTTTCAAAAGAATTTCAATTAGGACTTTTAAGTGCTCTCAATTTACTACACCCTGAATGTTTCTTATGGACGTCAAAGTTTGAAAAACAGTAAGGATGATGGTTTATGATAAATCAAGGGGGGAAATGGCGGTAGAAGTTAGTTTTGAGCTGGATAAAATGGGCTACTTACTGACTTTGCATTATGTCTAATATGCAGACAGAAAATTTTTCTATCATATATGGAGTTGATGGAAGTTGTTTTCAACGACATTATGTTAATGAAGATGTTGAGGATAGGTTTGTCTCAGTTTTATTCAAGTTAATTTTTTTTAATAGATTTATCTTTTTTTTACTTTGTTCTTCTGTTTGTGTGTGCAGTTTTATCTTATCAAGAGCGCACAGATATAGATTACAATGCTATTACACTGAACAAGGTACTCTACTGCCTTTTGTTTAACAGATTTCTTACTTTATAGTGGTGTCAGTCTGTCCTTTGGTTTGTGTCAAATATTTGTCTTTAATATTTTATTTGCTTTAATTTTTAATTTTTTAAACTTTGTCTGGAGTAGGTTTCTTAGATGACATATTCAATATATCACAATATTGGAAAACTGGTAAGTACTATCAGCCAAACTGCTGGCTTGAAAGATGGTTAAGAAGAGAAATTCAAGCTCTTACCCAGGTTAGTGAATTTATCAGATTAGTGGCTTGTTAGTGCGCTCTCTCTTAGGTATTGCAACTGGAAAAGTATTCAGTAACATAATGTGCTTTATTTATTACAGTATATTGATTCCCATTTTGTTTCATTTTCTTTAGTGCTATGTATGTGCCCAATTATTGGTGAAATATCTGATTCTTCTATCTCCTTCCGTCTCTTTTTATATTAGTTTTTTCTTGGGGAAGGAGGAAGAAGGGTGATTGTGTAGTAATTGCATAGTAGTGTTAATTTGTGACTTAAACAGTTAAACCTTCTTTTGGTGAATCTGTAGGAGGAGGATGTTGACATCATTGTGCACCATATCCTTGGTATGGTGAAAGCAGCATTATGGACAAAGTAAGTTTCTTCTTCGTGCATTTTTAGTTGCTTTATCATTATGAGTATGGAAAATAGGAAATGTTACTATTAACTCTCAAACTTGCAGGAGAGAGCAGAAGTCACATATGGATGCACATGAAAAGAAACAGGAGGAGTTCAAGATGTCAGTATCTGAGGCTGCTAGGCCGTTTCTGGCAGCAAGAACCCATAGATTTTTATATGAGATTCAACTATTTCTTGCTTCAGGAATGAATATTGAAGCTTATGATGCTGTTTACATACAACGGTTAGGTTGGAGCTCACCCGGGATAAACACCGAGGTTTCTCAAAGTGAATTAATTGATCGGACAACTGTTATTCCATACCTGTACATATTTGATGGTGACCCTGATGAAAATGAGTAGATTCCTTGTTCTGTTTTTCTCATGTTTTTGCTGTAATTGCTACCCGAATAGCATAGGAGAAATTTTTTCACACATCAATGAGTGCTATTGATCGTCTCCAGTTACTGCAGAAGGTGTAATTCTCAACCCAAGGGTGTAAAGTTGTATAATGTATGCTTGTTATTAATATATCAATTTTCATGGTCTAGATTGTAAGAAGTTATAATAAAACGGCAGAGGATCCTTTTTCAACGTTAATAGCCTGATTCTTTAAGCTCTTACTAGCTAACAAAATTTGCCCATTTTCAAAAATAAAATAAATAAACAAAACTTAAAAAGAAAAATGACTGCTTGAAACACTGATATATATACAGTAAATGAAAGAGAGGAGTAAATAAATGAATAAATGACAAATAAATTCTACTTAAATCTTAAAAATGTAGTGAATAAAATGCGTTGGATGAAGGGAAAACGAAAATGCACCGTTGGAAAAACTGAAAAACGGTAGAAGATAGTAGAGAAATAAAAATGAAATGGTTGACAGTAAGGCTGCCGGAAAAACTTAAAAACAGCAAAGTAGAAAAGTAGTAAAAAGAATTGAATGGTATGAAAAATAAAATATAATTAAATGGTTGGTTATTAGAAAGCAAATTGAAAGTATGTTGTGTGACTCATTTGGATTGGCCAATCAAAGTTTGAAGTTAGCCTTATCTCTATAAGAATCATGGGGTAAAATAAAACGCTGGGAAGTTTATAAATGCAATAGATGCTCTTTACTCATTGTTGTTTCTATTAGCATCACCATTCTTGAGTGGTTTGAAAACGTTAGAGAGGAGCTTTACAACAGGCATGGAGACAGCCTCAGACTACGGAGCATTCATGGAGAAATTCACTTTACCACCAAATTCTGCACCCGCTCTTTCTCCCAATTCACTCACTTTTGCAGTCAAAGAGATGTATGTACTATATAATCAATTCTTTTTCTACCACAATATTCTGATTGTCAAAATACCTGACCTCAAAGTCAACTAGACTTTGAATCCATGATTCTGCATCTTGGAACATGAAGTGTTTGTGTTAAATAGATTTGACGTGGAAGGATATGTGACCGGCTTCGGGAATCCTGACTGGGCAAGGACTCATCCTGTGGCTACCTCTACCGCTCCAACAGTTTTGGCTCTCCTCAGAGCAGGTGCCACTTGTGTCGGTAAAACTGTCATGGATGAAATGGCTTACAGGTTCGGTTTTCTTCGCTCAATTTTTCACTCATTCTAATGAACCATTGGGTCTTATGGTCGTAAGCACTGTTTAAGTTGCCAGTGACCATCTTTTATGACTAAATGAAATTCAATGTGAAAATAATCGCAATCTATTATCTGTCATCATAGTCATGTAAACTGTGTCTTGTTAGGCTAAATCATTGAGTTGGGATTAATACAGCTTTGTTAACTTTCACTCACTCAGTAGATTATATGGAAATGACATGGTTCGCCAAAAATGAATTTTTGTCTCTAAAGTTTTCAAGTAAGGGTGTGTACCTACCCTTAAAATTTATTGTGTTAGACCACATGCATTTAGTTAAATGGACACATGAACCAACAAGTCATTATTTCAAGTAATACTGGACTCGGTCTCTTTAAGTAAGATATCGAATTTGAATGTTTAGTATAGAAAAAGCATGATTCGAAGGGAAGATCTCACTAAAAGTGGTTAGTTAGGATCCCCGAAGTCATCAGCGAAGCTACTCAGTATAAATAATATGGTTATCCAAAACAAAAATTGGATACATGCCCACCTTAGCTCAGTTGGGGGAGGTTTCTCCTCATACAAAATATGATTGCGTGTTTGCATTTTTGGTTATCAGACATGTGCATATTTTGAGCACCTTATTTGTGTTACTCTCATAAGTAAGTATTCTGATCTGGCAGTATAAATGGAGAAAATATACATTATGGCACGCCTAGAAATCCTTGTGCAGCAGATCGGGTTCCTGGAGGATCTTCTAGTGGCTCTGCTGTTGCAGTTGGTGCAAAGCTTGTGGATTTCTCACTAGGTAATCTATTCTTCCATTCCCTTTGTTATTTTTGGCACCACTTTGTAAATAATTTCAAGTGCTGTTATGTTTTTCCTCGATAGTGAGCTATTCTTCCATTTCAATGAGTCTAATTTTTGGTTCACTTTATTAATAATTTGAAGTGTTTTATTTAATCACAGGAACTGATACCGGAGGAAGTGTAAGAGTGCCTGCATCGTACTGTGGGATTTTTGGTTTTCGTCCTTCTCATGGTGCTATCTCAGTATCAGGAGTTATCCCTATGGCACAAAGTTTCGACACTGTAGGTAGTAATCCATTAGCTTGATGACTATGTTAAATTTCTAATTTTGGGTGAATACATCAATACAAAGGATAATGACTAACGGCATAACACAAAAAAAACATCAACATGGATGAGTATACTAATAATATTTTCATAATTTTATCTTACAACACAAAAGCATCGTAATGAAACTGGGATTAGATAATCTCTAGGGGAACTTACAAGTGAGTTAGTTTTCAGTTTCTCTTAAACTTTAAAATGAATAAGAGATTCTTTCTTAAATCCCATACTTTGAATTTTACATACAATTAAATGTAAAAAATTTCCTTCATGGTTCTAATGTGCTTGCATTTCATGTTCTAATTTAATGAGGGAGTACTTTTTTCCTCTAGTTATCCAGTTAAAAAAGTATTTATGATCTTTGGCAAGATGCAGTTTGCTATGAATTCTTTTCTCCAAATTTTTTTGTCCGAATTTTCCCCTCGGTTGTTTTCATCTCCTAGTGGTACTGGTGTACAAGTAGTTGTCTTGAAATTATTGCTTCACTGGCTGTTGAGCCCCTTCTTCTTGAGACTTATTTCTTGCTTCCATCTTTATATCTAGGATGGTTTGCCAGGGATCCAGTGGTTTTGAGCAAAGTAGGACGTGTAATTCTACAATTGTCAGATGCAGCACCAATTAGACCTACTAGCATTATCATTGCAGAGGACTGTTTCCAGCTTTCAAGCATTCCATATGATGTAGTTACACCACCTGTCATCAAAGCAGTAGAGAAGTTATACGGAGGTGAACAGTTGATCAGATAGATTTATTGCTATCAATTCAATGTTCTTATTTGTTAATTATAAAAAAAAAAGGTTTCAATATTTAAGTTCTGAATTATAAGGAATTATTCTTCCCCCTTTTAATTTAGTTATAAATATATTTGTGGTTTCATTCCAATAATGATGTATTTTGGAACTATTGCAGGGGATGTATTAAAGCACGAAATCCTTGGCAACTATGTGAAGACCAACGTTCCAAGTTTGGAACATTTCATGAGTAAAGAGAATACAGACCAAATATATAACATTCCATCATTGGCTGCACTTTCAAGTGCCATGCGGTTGCTTCAAATGTATAGCTCACCATTTAATCCCTAGCTTTCAAGAAAAGTAATTGTAAATTTCTAGAAGGTCGTGGATTGCCTTCATTTAAAATTTGATACTTGCTTTGTGTATCATTTGCAATGTAGGTATGAATTCAAGAATAACCATGGTGAATGGATCAGAGCAGTTAAACCTGATTTAGGTCCTGGAATCTCAGAACGTGTATCAACTGCCTTGAGGACAACAGGGGAGAACATTGATATCTGTTATTCTATAAAAAAGGAACTGCATGATGCTCTTACTGCACTTCTTGGGGTATTCTTTCTCTCTCACACATGAGGCATGCACACAGACCATAGTATGGCCTTTGGAATCCCCATAACGTGCAGATAAATAACAGATTTCAATATATGACATATCATGCATAGATTCTCTCCTTATATGCACAAATCATTCCTCCTGACATTTATTCTCTCCTTAGTCTTCATAAAAAGAAACCTTTATTCTTGTTCATGGAGATATAGTTTTCATTGTCATTATTACTTTTGAAATAACTATTTGAGAGTTGAGATAATCTCGAGTGATAATTCTTAATAATTAGAGTTTATGAGATTGGTCAGTTCTACCATAACCGTGATAATTCTTAATAATTATTGAGTTATGAGATTGGTCAGTTCTACCATAACTTGGAAGTAAATTCATTTTTGAATAATCTCGAACAATTTTATTCATTCTGTTGCTAAAAGTAAAAATTGGTCTTTTTTTAATTTTTTATTTATTATTTTAAAAATTTGTCTTATGTAAAATTTCGTATGATTTGTTATTAAACATTACTACTTTAATATTGTAATTTATTATTTTACTTTAATATGAAATTGAAATTGAAATGTTGAGTTATATTATTTATAAGTATTATAATATATTTTTTATAAAGTAAACTCATGCTTATTATTTAAACAATCTTATTCCACAAATGAAGATTATAGATTCTCCCTATGCATCTACTTTGTGTAGTATTTACCTTTACCCATTAAAAATAAAGTAGTATCATCGTCAATATGCCTTCTTGAAACTGATATCTCTACTATTTTCTGAGGATTCCGTTAAGGGAATCCCTTTTTAAATTTACAACAGCAAAGGTACAACTTTCTTTAGGTTTCTGCTTTAGTGCAAGTTATCTTCTTTCTTTCTTTCCACTTTCTCCGCCATCTTGCTTCCTTGGGTGCTTAATTGCATTTATACTATCCATTGCAACTTTTTTCATAGAACGAGGCTAGACTAGTTAGAATTCTTCTTGTTACAATAGTTTTTTTTTTTTTGGATTGCGGGTGGGGTGCATAATTGTTACCAAGATTTTGAACAATTTGGTGGCCATCTGATGTCCTCTTTGACAAATTTTAAGCATCCAAATAATTTTCATATGCCTGCGTTTTCTTTAAGTTACTGCAACAGATTTTGTTTCAAAATTTCAGGATTTTGGTGTTCTCATGATCCCCACAGTTCCAGGGAATCCCCCAAAACTACAAATGAATTCATCTGAATTAGAAATTTTTCGTGCAAGGGCATTTAGCCTTCTGTCCATTGCTGGAGTATCGGGATTTTGTCAGGTCCTTTCGCTGTGTTTATGTAGCACTTGGACTCTCATATTTTTTGTTAATCAATTAAAATTCAGTTCAGAATGTTATAACAATGTGGTTTTTCCCGACACTATGCAGGTAAGCGTACCACTAGGGATGTATAATAACCTTCCCCTATCAATTTCTCTGCTGGCCAGAGATGGTGCAGATGGATTTTTGCTTCACCTTGTTGAGAGTCTTTATGACAGCATTAAAGAATAGAAAGCAGCATAGCAGAGTGCACAAGTTACCTCCATTTGACTGCAAGGATGTTGATGTTTACTTTTAAAAAAATCAGGGCAAAGAATTTATGGAAGCTTTGAGATCCTTTGTGCAATACACATATTTTAGTTCCTCTTTATGTGCTTGTTCGAGCACTTCTGTGATTTGTGAGCAAAAAATCTTTTGCAGATGCTATGAATATGCATACTATGCCAAAGGTGGGAGAGAAGCACGACCTGAACTATGGACATAAATTAAAGTAGAGAAATAGTATAATGGAAATTCTTGCTTAAGTACGAAAATTAAACTTGCAGCAATCTTACAAGCACTTAGCATTGACTTGACCGATGGGCAGACACATGTTCAAAGGATAAAAATGCTTCAAACTCTACTCTTTTCTATTATTATCTTGTTTTCCGTGAGTTTGAAGGCTTTCAATTCTATCCCTGGTTTTCTTGTTATCGCTCGGATGTTAAAGAATATGCATTGCCTGTGATATCTGCGTACATATTGGTTTCATTCGATTAATTAAGTAGAAGGGATTAATTAAGTAGAAGGTAACACATAAATCTATAACAAGATATATTTAAATCTCAATACATACTGATCTTTATTATATACTAGTACTCTCTTACATATACTTCGCTACAAAGACACATTTTCTTAGGCATATTCAAAAGATGATAATCCTCCAAGTCCCTCCTCTAACAGTACAGAGGAGGAGCTGAGTGAGTTGCACATTAACACATACCGTAACACGTTCACACAAAACGTAACTTCCACCATACTACCTTGTCCCATATATTTATCCTGGGTTTAACCATTCACAACGGTTCCACCTGAAACAACATGATCATGTTGATTAGTAAACTTAAAGTGTCAATGTACATGTTAGACATAGCATATTAATTAAGTAGCGTTACCATTGGGGTGAAGGACTTGTCCAGTTATATAAGAGGAGCATTGGTTGGAGGCAAGAAAGACATAAGAGGGAGCAACCTCAATGGGCTGGCCAGCTCTCTTCATTGGCACCTCCCCACCAAATTGGGCCGTTTCCTCCTCCTTGAAAGAGGCCGGTATTAAGGGAGTCCAAATGGGCCCAGGAGCCACCCCATTGACCCGAATTCCCTTACTAACCAGCTGAAGGGAAAGACCCCTTGTAAAGGCCACAATTGCTCCCTTTGTAGAAGTGTAGTCCAGCAGTTTGGCATTTCCCTTGTATGCATTCACTGATGTAGTGTTGATTATGCTGCTTCCTTCCTTCATGTGCTTCAAGGCATGCCTAATACAGATGTGTCATTCATACAACATCAAATGGATACAGCTTTTTAGAAACTAGATTGTACTCACTCACCTGGCCATGAAGAAATAGGAGAAGATATTAGTTCGAAAGACCCTCTCAAGCCTAGGCTCATCTATCTCCTCCACAGTTCCACACTCGTATTGCTCAGCTGCATTATTGATCAGAATGTCAATGCGTCCAAACGCACTCACAACCTCATCAACCACCCTCTTGCAATTCTCATCATAACCCAAATCAGCTGGTATGGCCATTGGATCCTTGGCCTCATTGCTCTTGGCCCTCTTGATCATTTCAAGGGTGTCCCTCGCGTCCTTGTCCTCATGACCCTTCACATATGTGAAGGCCACAGTAGCACCTTCTAGAGCAAACAAGTTACACACTGCTCGTCCAATCCCTGAGTCCCCCCCAGTGATCAATGCAATCTTCCCCTGAAAATTCACAACACATGAAACAAGAAACAAATATTTGTGTAGGCTTAATATGTAACATGAACCAATCTCTTTCATTCTAACTAATAATTAGCATTTAGCATGCATAAGTTGATGTGTATGTACTTGAAGTTTATTTGCAGACTTGTAATCAGGGTTAGTGAACTGGGGTACTGGATTCATAACATGCTCCTTGCCGGGTTGTGTTTTTTGTTGTTGAGGAGGAAATTTCTGATCACCGGAAGCCATTCTTAGAATCAAGGTTTTTTTACGTGGGAAGTGGTCTTGGTAGGAAAAGAATGTGAGGAAATGGTTGTTAAATATGCGTGTGGATGAAGAACAAAGTGTGCGGTGAAACATGTAGTACGTAGCGAGACACTTGAACTTGTTAGCACGTAGGGGTCATGTGTTGATTATAAGAGATTTGAATATGCCACGTGTCGAGGAGTGGCAGAAGGAAATATTGACGTGTCCTACGATTCGCATGCACTCGACCCAAAAGGACATTCTCGACCAACCCAACCTTTGGTTTTGGCTTCATCTTCCTTCTATGTTTTTAATCAAAGATCTTAATTTTCATATCATCAACATATATTATTGGCAAATTAAAATTATCCTATAAATTTTGAATTAATTGAAATATAATTACAATTTAGAGATTTTTTATTCTGTTATTCACTTTTAATTTTTCATATATAATTAGATTATTGATATTTGTAAGATTTTCTCATGTAACACTATCAATTCATAACTCTTATTTGATTGGTAATTGATAGTCACAATTGAGAGTTCTAGAATCAGGATATTTTGATAGCTAGTTGATCTTGGGAAAGCTAAAATAGAGATAGGTAGAGATAGCTCAAGAAAGTTATAAAAGGAAACTTTTTCAAAAAGATAATCAAAACTCAAGTTTTCTAAACTGTTGGGGGAGGCTAGACAGAGAAAACTTCTTCCTTCTCCTTTCTCACTTCCATTTCTTTCATTTCCTCAATTGATTCTAGTTAGTGTGGTCAAAATCAAGCTTCCGGAGTTGAACTTAAGCAAATGGGTACCAATTCATCTTCTTCCCCTTTTCCTCTTGTAGATTATTTTTCGAGAGGTAAGGGAGGTTTGTGTTGTTTGTGAATCTTGTGTAGACTATCATGTATAATTCATCTTTTTGTTGGGGAAGATGAGATGATGATTTTCATTATAGTGGTTGTTTGAAGTTGTGGGTTTGTTTCTCAAAAGGTGGTTCATGGAGGTTAATGCTTGATCTTTGTTTTAAAGTGGTTGCATGGTGTCTTTGATGATGACACTGTGTTGTACGTGTTGTATATATGTTGGTTATTGCATTGCATGTTGTGGAGTTACTGAATTTCACGTGGAATGACTAAAAATCAGTTTCTGTATAAGTGTGAGAATTGATATCGCGTCAAACGTGCCTTCAAGGCATCGGAAGTAATTCTAAAGAGGAGTCTTTGTCTTACTCATGTTGGCCACATGGTTAGTGGTGTCAGACGCGAGGAGAGAGGCTTGTCTTGGGTTAGAATCACGCTAGGCGTGGATTGAATGACATTGGGCGTAAGGAAAGAGACTCGTTTATGCTTAGGTTCATGTTAAGCGTTAGCGTGTGTGACGTCGGGTGTGAATCAATTAGGGAGTTTCCTACCTGATCAGGGTCGAATGTGGGTATTGCCATGCTAGACACGAGAGTATGAGACACTTTTTGCCTTAAACATGTTGGGCGCGAGTGGTGCAACGTTGGGCGTGGGCGAGACAGGAGCTATTTGCCTCAATGGCATCAGGTACCTAATGAGTGGCATTGGGCATGAATTGTATGATGAAAAATTGTTACTTAAAGCAGTTTTACAATTAATTGATGGTGAATAAGTTGTATGAAAGATGATGTAAGATGATATGTGTTGAAATGGAGTATGTTGAACATGTTGTAAAATTGTGTATTATTTTAAGTTGTCTAAGTCATAGTGTTTCAAGAGTTCAATTAAAACCTTTCAGTAAGTAAGTTGGTCTCTAAATGGGTAAGTTATTTTCAATTGTCACCTTGAGGTTTTATGTGATATCCATATGTGTTAAGTCTCAATTATACTTCTTTTTGGATAAAACTTATTGAACAATTCCACTCAGCCTTTGCACCGTTGCAAGATAATTATTCTCTTTTTGATTCATTTTGTGCAGATATAGCTAACCCAGAATTTAGCTAACAATACCTTAATACACCTCATTTTTTGTGAGGTACTGAGCTAGAGAATTAAGGATAGAAGACCCATAGGATTGGAAATCTAAGGAGCTAAGAAGTAGAGAAGAGTGACTGCGCCGGGCGCAAGATTACCCGCGCCAGGCTTATGCAAAACAGAGTGTCTCACCTCTGTAAGATTACCTGCGCCGGGCGCGAGACTACCCTCGCCAGGCGTGATCGAGACAGAGAGTATCTCAAACTCTCTGGAAGGCATTGCGCTGGGCGTAAAAGGAATTACGTCGAGCATGTCCTGAGGCAGAGAGTACTTGACCCTCCTGGAAGGCCCTGTGCCGGGCGCAAAGACTAATGCACTGGGCGTGAAACCCTGATCTGACTCTCCAAGCTCGTATTTGAAGAAATCTTCGAGGATTTTCTCCTCATTCACACATTGGACGCGTTTTAGGAGTTGAGGAAGGGATTCCTAGAGCTTGGGACCGTTCGTGTGTGGGTCTTTCCTTCGGTTCTTCATTCTCTCTTCCATTTCTATTTTTGCTTTCCCCTCATTGTTTTGAGTGGTTCTACCCATCATTTTGTGGGGTTAGATGTAACCAATGAATTCCATTGTAATCCTTACGTTTTAATGATATATTTACATGTTGTTTCACTCATTGTTGTGTATGTTTCTATTCTTAATGCTTGCCTTGGATTGATCCTCCTTTGCATGATATAGGTTCCATTGGGTATTAGAAAATAACCTTTGAAACTAGCTCTGAAACAAATGCCTAGTGGGAAATGTATCTAGGAATGGAGCTTGACCCATTAGTAGTCTTAAATCCTAACCCGTAATGCGGGTGTAAGTATTGGATATTCAAGGAATTGATATTCATTATCCGTACCTAGGCTCTTGCTCTAAGGGATTAGGTTTGAGTAAACTTATGGGTTGACTAAGCAATGGATGTAACAAGAGATTAAGGATTCATTAGTGTGACGTTTGGTGATATCTGACCTCACAATCTCACAAAATCATAATACCATTTCTACCCTTTTTCCACACACAAACAAATACTTTTATAGTTTAACATTCCAGTAGTCATGACCTTTAATTCACATTCGCATGACAAACTACAAAATTAGAATTATTCTTTAGTCACGAATAGTCAATAAATGCTTATTTTACATACTAATCCCTGTGGATACGATAATTGACTACTTGAACGGCCGGTATACTTGCCGTGTTTGAGACCGTTGATAGATTTGAAGTGATTTACAATGATAACAAAAATAGTTTCAACGAAAATCTCAACAATATGTGAGTAAGGTCGAGATGTACACGTATAAAGCAACCAATTGAGTGAAGTACCGGATCGGGAACTTAGTCGATAACATAATATTGGAAGATCGTGATATTTGAAGGGTGGTCAGGGAGTTAATCTCATAAATAACTTAGTATTGTAAGTTAATAACGTGATAAATCCATATCTAAATTATTCTACCTTAATATAATACCATATTCCCTAATTTAATTATTCAATAATAATAACTATGCTAATCTCATTAGTCAATTGTTTATGAATACTACGATCTTAAATCCAATTTATGTAGGTATTTATTTGGGTATTTATTTGATTAACTAATTTTATATTATAATTTTATAATATAAATGTGGATGGAAATTTTAATTCATATAATAACTAGTGTAAGAAACATTTTGTATTTATGTATATTTTATTTAAAAGATAATAAACGGTCAAAATATGAAGATTGGAGCAGTTTTAAGTACAGTTATTAAATAAATTAAAGATTAAAAAGTCTTATACAAATGTGTAATACTAAAAAAAATATATTATTTTTTTAATTAATGTTATAGATACCTTGTGATCGAAGTTAACTATATAAATTATATTTATAATTTATATAAAGAAATTTTTTTACACGTATAAATTATATATTTTTTACAGCAACATATAAATTATAGTTTAAAATTATGATAAATAATTGATATTATAATATAATATTATTTTTATTTATTGATAATTTATTTTAAAAATACTAAAATTTAATTTATAAATAATTATAATAAATAAAATTTGAATTTGATAAGAAATAAAAAAGAATTTTAAAAATATATGCAACTCAACAAACATGTTTATTTACATTATATTATAAAATATTATTTTTTAATAATATCGATATTAATAAATAGCAACAAATCAAAAAATTTAACAAGTAAAACTCGTTTAATTTTACAATTTTATTATCAATATCGAAATTATTGAATTTTATAATATCTCATAATATTATACAGAAAATTACTTATAATTTGTTGGATTACACATAAAAGAGAGTATTTTTCAACTATTAAATGAAAGGAAAGTTTCTAAAAATGTTCTAACGCAATATAGAAGTTAATATTTAATATATATATATATATATATATATATATATATATAAAGTCGAACTAGCAGAAATATTTGCAAGTGTAAAATTTATCCACCAATTTCTGGACATGGAAAGCAGAGAAGATGTGTCTATTCGGAGTTTAGATGAACAACAATAACTTTTTCCAACTCAACGATGCCTATCTTGTTCATACCACTTTTCCTTGAAGGCAAACAGAACAATGGCGTGGAAGCCCCCCTCTTTACAAGCAAGGTACCAAAAAAGTAAGGAGAATCTCCCTCTCTTGAGAAAGCATAAGGAATGATCCAAGAACCACGCACTGCTTTACTCATCGTGTTCACAAAAACAATATATTATAGTGATAAACGTTTTTGGCGTTACTGATATTTGGGGACTTATATATATATATATATGTGGTGACGGTCTATCATAATCATAAGAGCATATAGTTAAGTGTTTTTGCCTCTTGTTACACTCCATTAATTTAACCATGCTCTCCTTCAAACTTGGTCTCTACCTTCTTATTGCATCTGTCTTTGTCTTCCACCTGCTTCCTAATCCAGTGCTATGTGATGATGGTAATTAAAAGTCTCTCTTTGACTCTAAGCACTCCTGTTCCAACTTACATAGATTTCTTCTTGTTTGATAATCCTAGACTTTGAATTTATATTTTGTCATTATATGATATGATTAGTTGATAACTGATATGATATATCAGCAATAACAGGCGCAACAAACAAAAGTTAAGGGGCAAAATTGTGAAATATGAGTGATAAAATGTGCAATTAAGTATTATGGTCTTGTCTTTGGTGGTGACTCAACCAATTAATCTATAAGCATACGCATAGTATAATGTCCTTTGCATGGTTTGTGTGTGCAGACGAGGAGGATCTACTCCATGACATCAACATTTACAGAAAAGTTTTGAACCTTCCTCCTCTGGAAAAAAGTGACAAGGCTTTTTGCTTAGCCGAGAGGATAGCAGATGATCTAGAGGACAAGAAATGCGACGAGTTTGGGGGCTACTACCCTGTGCCTGGTAGCAACCCCAAAATTCCCAACTTCCAAAAGAGTGTAAGCAAATGCAAGATCAACACCAACACCACAAAAGATGGGGTCATCATGCCTGTTTGTGTGCATGAATTGGACCGTGATGCTTTGTTTTCCAATTATACCAAATCTAATCGTTATACAAAATATCTCAATAATTCAAAGTATAAGATAGCAGGGGTTGGCTCTGAGAATGATTGGATGGTTCTTATTATCAGCACCAACACTGCTTCTGGAGATTTCTCCTCTGCAACTTCTCTGCTTGCTGAGGCTTGGAAGAGTCACTACCTCATGTTGGTCTTCTTCTTCAGCACGATTGTTCTTCTCTTCAACTAATTCATTGTTCTCTTTCGTCTCCTGTTATTATTCATTCATTTGGTGGATTTTTCTTTTCTCTTTGTTATTTGGAACATTTATTATTTTCTTTTGTAATTTTGTGTATGTGAGTGTACCAGTGTTTTTGTTTTGACAAGTTCTTGATGATTCTGGATTTGCGTGTGATAATCTCCATGCACGTACTTGTAATTAATCATGTATATTGTGATTTGGGTGTTAATATGTTTGATAAATAAAATTTAAGCCTCTTTGTTAATATGTTTGATAAACAAGTAATTTGTGGATAGTACAAAATTCCGGAAACAAGGGTCCAATTCAGAAATGCTCTCAGGTACATACAATAGAGAGGTGCTTTGAGATTTGACTTGAAAACTAAAAGACTAATTTAGAATTCAACGTTAACATGCATACAAATAATCCTGAATACCAAAGCACAACACATCTTTCAAATGTTTCACTAACCAGCCTAACTAGTTGGTCCATTAATTGTTACACACTGTTACCATGGTTTCCCAAAACCACTTGTACCATATCTGCATGGCATTCTCTGCGGTTCATGTATGAACGATGGATGGTTCGTTATGGCAAAGTGTATAAGGACCGTCAAGAAAGGGAAGAGCGTTTCAAGATATTTAAA